GAAAATTTCACACAAAGACTTTTCGGTCATAGGTCCCCCCTTAAACGTTTACTTGTTCCTATACTTTGACGTACACGTACACGTTTTTGTAATTTGTCTGTTGAGATTTTAATGACATGTAACAGTACGTGTACACTGCGATCACTGTCTTTGTTTTAACTATAATTTTAAAGTATTATGACGTCTGTTTGATTTGAGTTAAAAAGCAAAACATGATGAAAATAAGTGCATGGGAAACTAAACATCCTAGATAATAGTTAACTACTACATTTTCACACATAAATTGACTAATTTTCATTATCTAAACTACAAGTTTTCAATTACGGGTAGATGTCACTCTACAAGTTTTAAGAAGGTGTAGCAATCTTGACGTCACTAAAATTAATGACGTAATACACACGGAATTTAGGTTATTCCCTACTAGACGTACACGTCACAGGTACATGTGGACAGGACCCCCCCCCCCAATATTCAACCCCGGGGCTTATTGGACATGATTTTTTTTCCCAAAAATCATATTTACTACACTTATCGTCAAAAATCGTCAAAACCCCAAAACAATCGTCCACAAAAAAATACCCCTCTATGTACATTATAAGGGAGAAAGGCATGCCACTCCGGTTTGAAATTTCCCTAAGTAAAAACAAAGGAAGTGCATAGAGAATGTATGATAAAACTAGAGAGAGATTATTACGTCAGTCCAAAACTCTCGGACGTTATCCTAATAAGTGAAACATTCTCTATGCACTTCCTTTGCGATTACCTAGGGAAATTTCAACGTTCTGACTGGGAAACTGTTTAAGGAGATAATCAGATATTGTGGGATTCTTACGAGATGCAGAGTTAATCCGATAGCATGCACTAAGGCAGAAATATATGAAGAGACGATGTGAATCGACATTTTAGGTTGAAATAAAATAAATACATGTTTTTAAACCCAGAAAGCCCAGTGGGGGTACAACTTAAACAAACCGGAGTGGCGTACCTTTCTCCCTTATAATGTATAGAGGGGTATTTTTGTAGAGCGATTGTTTTGGGGTTTTGACGGTTTTTTTCATATTGTACACATAATGAATAAGTGTAATAAATATAATTTTTGAAAAAAAATGTCCAATAAGCCCAGGAGTTGAATATCGGGAGGTGGGGGGGTTTCCTGTCCACAAGTACCTGTGGTACACGTTTGAAATCTCAACCTCTCTATTGTCAACCTCCTGAAGATTGAAAATGAAACCGGTTGAGTTTATATTGGTGTTGTGATTTTATTAATATATATATATATATATATATATATATATATATATATATATATATATATATATACGTATATATAGAAGCACAAAGAAATTCACTTTCATATGGATACCCACTTCCGCACGAGCCCGGGTTTGAACTCTCGACCTTCGGAATCTGTCTCCTAGCAGTACAGGAACAGCGCGCTAAACCGCTCGACTATCTAGGCAAGTCGAAAAGAAACTTGCTTTAGATGCCGATGGAATTCTCGCGGCGCTGCCCTACACTACACTACATAGTCATTGAGAATAGAAGTGAGATACATTTATTTGAACAATGTGCTATTTCTGAAGAGAAAAAGCCCTTCCAGGAACTTACAACTTAACGTCATTGCCTGGTGACGCGGAGTATATGAAGCAAAACAGGGACAGGGAACCAGGTTTGGGCGGAAGTGGGTATCCATATAAAAGTGTATTTCTATGTGCTTTCTATATTAATATTTCTTCACTTAGGGCAGTTATGTTAGTTTAAGAGTTGTTGTAAAATGTGCTTAATATATTATATATATATATATATATATATATATATATATATATATATATATATATATATATATATATATATATATATATATCGTACATCTTTGCTTTCTTTTTTCACATTTTGAGCCCTAGCTTTAGGGTGGGGCTTGAAACAAGGGTCACATTCTTTATGATGCATGTGTACAGGAAACTCTCTTCTCTTAATGAACAGAACCATTTTTGGTTATAAAGTTGTTGGGATTTTCCCATCAAGTGTAAATTCTAGTTTAATTATATATCATGTCCCTTTGGAGTAAGAGTTGGTTCTTAAAACAAAAAGAATCCCATTTGGGTTTATTCTTGTAACTAAAGAAAAAGCTAAGAAAATAGTCAAATGTAAAATATGATGGAAATATCAAACCTATAAAGAGGCCTTTCATTTAATTTATAATTCATTAATTTTGTATTTCCCAGGTTAAAGAAAATCTGTGTAATTTATATACATACAATATACCGGGACGGGAAAATACTGGTATTAACCACTAATTATTCCCACCATTGGTATTTCCAGGCAAATGTTACTGACAGGGTTTTCTTTATTGAAAATTGACTTATCTAACAACAGAAGGCATTCATGTATGCGCCTAAAATTATAGAACCTGTCTAGGTTTTACTTATGTTTTCTTAAATTCAGACAAAGACTGTTATGCAATCAGGAGGAAGTTGGACGTATGGTTATATGAAAAAGTCGATTGTTCCCACGCACTTCCGTTTGTGTGCGTTCCTAATCAGAGTGAGTTCCTTCAACTTGACGAAATTTTAAAATCATATTTGCATCATGTTTTAACTGGTACATGCTTGTGTAGTATTAAATTGAAGTATTTAATAGCATATTTTTTCTTTCTCTCTACATATAATACTTGTATGAAATTTTATTTTTATGCGCCTGGATCGATAGATCCGAGGCGTATATTGTTTTTGTCCTGTCTGTTTGTCTTTTTATCTGTTTGTCTGTATGTCAACTTTAATCTTCGTCATAACTTTCGAACCATGAAAGATAGAGACTTCATATTTGGTATGCATACTCCACTAATAACACCCTTTCAAATGACACCAAGATCAATGACCTTGTGACCTTAACAATGACATATATGCTAAAAATAGCTTTTTCGAACTTTTGCCTTAACTTTTGAAGCGTAGGAGATAGAGACTTTATATTTGGTATGCAAATCCTACTAATTAAGTTCTTTAAATGACACCAAGGTCAATGATCTTGTGACTTTGACTGTGACCTATCTGCTATAAGTAATTTTTTGGAACTTTGTTGTCGTCGGGCGCATAGTGTTTCACAAAGTTAACACATCTTGTTCTAATTATGAATTTGCTTACTTTAATTTCTAACATTTATAGATGTGTTTAAAGCTTGTGCATCAAAATAAACTTTCACTTTGTCTGAAAGGTGTAGATGAATGGTATATTACTAACTTATTTATCTTTCAACATCTCAGTCTATTTTTTAGAAACCTTTGCATGAACATTTTCCTGTTTTGTGTTTGCATACATAAATTTATTCTTTTAATTAGATTTTCTACTCTTTCGGTCTACTGTTTAAACAAAAATTGGATTTGCAAATATCACTATTTTACAATAAAAAAATGATAATGACCACATTGCCTTTAAAAATTTTTGTACTTGGAAAAGAATGAAAAATGTGAAAAATGCATTGTAAACTTTCTTTTTTGAAATGGGATGAAAGGCATAATATCAAATGGGGCAAAACCTATGACCAGAGGAGGTCGCATTTCGACCCCTAAATTTTGGGGTGTGCATTTCAAGCCCTAATTTACTAATCGGATTAAGAGATTAAGGCTAGATCCAATATGGCGGCTCTAGTCTGGGGTAGATCCAATATGGCGGCTCTACGGTTAGAAGAAAGTGACGGATCTAAGATTTGTCAATTTTCTAGGGGTGTAAAACCAAGATGGCGGACCTTTCTGTTAGATAAAAGTGGTGGATCCAAGATATGTAAATTTTCTATAGGCGTAAAGAAAAAACCCATACTATGTTAATCGGATAAAGTTCAGATCAATGGCTCATTCAAGGTATTGATTACTAGATGGTAATTTTCTGTAAGTGTCATAAGATACTGCGAAATCAAGATCCACGCTAGTAGATTTGCTAATAGAGAGGTGTTAATTCCTTATTATCTGTGTCAAGTCAATTAAAGATAACGGCTTATCTTTATTATTGCGTTTACAAAGAAGATGAGATGTTTTCTAGTCATTGTTCCGTTAATCAGTTCTCAAGAAAGTGACAATGAGCGAGTCCTATTATAATTATTTTGAAATTTTAAAAAACTCAAATCTGCGACCTGAGGAAAACACATTTACACATGGATTAATGACAGTCGGTTTGAGCGACAAATTAAATGTTATGAAGTCTTACTCAATTATAAGTAATTTAATCCTTTCGGTATATATATATGCAAGACTATCTACTTTTAACATATATCACTATAAAATTCATAATGGATAGGGAACTATGCTGTGCTGAAGAAGAAATCATTTACAAAATAGTAAGTTCAATAAAAGACTTGAATACTTTATTCACTTGGGCGGTCAACCACGCGCTGGCAAATCACCCGATAGTTGCTAGAAGAACTCTTCAGCTCTTGGAATGGGAGAAGTTACAAAAGTAAGTCACAATGTAGAGAATTCTTTTACTGAAAAAAAATGCAAGCTACAACGAAATCGTTCTAAATTTGACATAATTATTTGCAAAAGGGATCATGTATAAAATCAATAAAACCATATAGAAATATTAACGATCACGTCTAATTGATTTTTCAAAACTGTTTTATTAAAATTAAACTTTCCAGAAGAACTAACGAAGATGACGATTTTTTGGAAGACTTTATGGGAGTTTTACCTGAGGATCACAGGATATATAGGGCCGTCCAGAAAATAAACGACGTTGAACGTTTAAAGCAATGGTCCGAGAAATGGGGTGTAGCCGACCATTACAACGTGAAAAGAAGAATGAAATATTTAAGGAACCTCGCGGAGGAGCAAAAGTAAGATATATATTTTTTGTAAAACAGTAACATGGTTTAATTGATTAATAAAGAGGGGCGCGGGGTGTGTCAATGGTTATTTTTGTTTATTAAAAAGGAAGGACTTGCATTTTTATGTGGTTGTAAATACAATACATGTACATGGTCTGATTTACTCTTAATAATTTTATAGGTCCATGGAGAATGCTGAGGTCCAAAATGGGGAAGAACCTACGGAAGCTGATGATGCAGAAAATAATCAACAGGTTAGATACATCATATTCTCTCTCTCTCTCTCTCTCTCTCTCTCAGTCATATTACATTATTCTTTAATTGATTATAATTTTTTTTAAAAGCAAAAGCCAAAGCCTAGCGGGAAGGGGAAAGGTGTCGATTGTAAACGCTGCGGACATGTTTGTAAAAACAAAAGGGAATTGATTAACCATAGGAAAGAGCACAGAGTTAGAGGCGCTCACCGATCATCAACAATCCCCGAAAAAGAAAACCAGCCCTCTACCGCTTTTCAACCAATCCCCGAAAACCAACCATCAACATCGTATCAACCGCTGGAGAGAGGATCACCTCCAACAGGTCATTCTGTAACATGCAGAAAATGTCGAGAGTCTTTTCCTAACAGAAGAGCGCTGTACCTCCATCAGAAACTACTCCATCAAAGCGGTGAAGGAACAGAGGTACAGTTTCCATGGGAAGAACGAGGAGACCAAGCCCCATGGGGTGATGATGAAAGACTTCGCGACACCTTTTTGGCGAATAAAAACTTCATTTTGTCAAAGGGAGATAAAGGTTCTCTAAAGACAACTGTTAATTCTCCATTAGAAAATAACGTTTCTACAGAAAATTTAATCGAAATTCTTCAAAATTCCTGTCGGACAGAATCACGCACTTTCAGATTGAATCTTTCTTTTGGTTTTATTTTACAAAATGTTGAGACTAGAGAATATAGATATTTCATCCCAGATAGAAACGAAACTGTTTTTGATCGACCAGTTCTCATAAATAACATGAGAGATATCAGAAAGAAATTGCGCGAGAAATTAAATTCCATAAATCTAATGGAGTATTTACAACGACAGCGACCAAACAGTAAATGGCGTATTGTTCACATCACAAATGTAAAACTTTATTTTTTTCGGACCAAGTTTTTATTTTCTTAACTTTTATGTGAACATTATATTTTCTTTTTTAAAACTTTGTATACATTTTGAACGTTTCCTATTTTCATATTTTATTGTTAATTTATAAACACAATAAAATTCCTTACTGTTGTCTTAATTTTTCTTTCTCACTGTTTTATGAAAGAATTTTTTAGAGAAATAAAATGGAATTACGAGAGATAATACTAATTAGGATTAAAAGAGACGATTTAGCTGATAATAGAACGATTTATGTTGATATAACAACACACTGGGATTGAAGGTGTTTTGATAAGGAAAGTCTTATTTTAAAATAAAAGATTTTTACAAGTAGAAAATAAAAGTTGCAACATTACGAAGCGATTAAGATATATTATAGCGCTTATTATTTAATACTGAAATTGATATAAAAAATGGCATTGAAATCTTATTAACTCGGAATTATAGAATCATATACTGTGACATACACGCCTACATAATTCTTCATGGTAACACCCTTCTGCTTTAAGTATTGTTTGTTCTTACCGTTTGTCTCATTCTGCTTCAAGAATAAGTTCTATTCACTATGGCTAAAGAAAGTTACAACTTATGTTTAAGTGACGAGAGATGTCTCAGAATTTTCCCTGACGAATACAATTCAACAATTGACATCAGGCAGACGGAAGATGGAGAGTTTTCCGCACAGAAAGGCCAGGAACTTTCCCTGTCAAGATGGAGAGTTTTGTGCGATCGTTTAGAAGACGTAGCATGCGCCGTTGCAAAAGTGAAAGCGAAAGAGGACGTTGAATTTAAATTACATCTGGGTGGCCAAGTGTATGTGTCTGTGAATTCTCCCTACATGTGCGTGAACATTAGAGAATTCACAAGAGGTAGATATGAGAACAATAAGAACGATTTATACCCTACACCTAATGGACTGTCTTTGCGTTTTAAGGAGTGGGACGTTCTAGTGAACAATCTACAGGAAGTCAACATCCAGCTTCCGGTAGACATGGACTGTGTGGTGCCCTGTCACTTAAGTCACGAAAACCAAATGGGGATGATTGAGTGTGCTGAATGCAATCCTGGTGGTGAAATGGAATAAAACTTTGACAATATACCATTGTACATAATGTATTTGTAAATACGAACATTGATATCAGTGTGTTTCTTGTATTTGAACTGTTCTGACTTTTTGTAAAATTAGTACTGATAAATATTCAAATGACTCATTTATTAATAAATACTCAGGGAGAAAAATAAACGCTTTAAAACTTTTACTTTCAACCTTTCTGTCATTGTGTATAATTAAGAGTTTAATAGAAAGCACAAGAGTTTTAGGAACTTCATTTTAGTTCCGACCGTCCTTACGTCAACATGTTTCCCTTCAACAGTTGTACTACAATATCAATATCCGGTACGACCGGTTCAGGGAAAACATGTTTTGTTAAAAATATAATTAATTATATAAAACTGATGTTTTATCCTGATCCTCCAGTGAATGTGTTGTACTGCTATGGTGTGTTTCAAGAGGAATTTAGCATTATGGAGAAACAATTTCCTTTTTTAAATTTCCGACCTGGCTTACCTAGTGAATCTGATTTGAACGTCTTGACAGAAAACAACTGTCACAACTTGGTTGTAATTGATGATCTTATGAATGAATTGGTGTCAAACAAAGAAATGGAAAAACTTTTTACGCAGGGTGCTCATCATAAAAAGCTAAGCATTCTTTATCTGAATCAAAACATGTATTGCAAAGGTAAACACTCTCGCACAATAAATCTTAATACGCATTATATGGTATTATTGAAAAATCCGAGAGATATGTCACAAATTCAATGTTTGGGTAAACAAGTTTTTCCCGGGAAATCAAATGCTCTCGTGGAAGCGTACAGGGATTGTATGCAAAAGCCTTTCGGGTATCTGGTGCTAGATTTATCTCCCCATGGCGAAGAGACATATCGCATAAGAACTGGCATTTTTCCGAATGAAACATGTATCATATATAAACCCTTATAAACTCTGAATACATTCAGATCTAGTTTGTATGTCGAAGGATGAATGTCGTGTCAGACTTAAGAAAATGAGTAAAATATTACAAAGTGTTTCAGTGTACCTGAAATTATTTTTTGATAAAGACACACCGAAAGAACAAAAATTGGGATTATTGTATACTGCAAGTAAGAAACAGATATTAGCTCTAGTGGAGATTTTTTACAATATTCTAAACGGAACTATTACGTTGTCTGCGAAAGCTCATAGACTGCTTACAAGAAGTCGTGTGATTCTTCAAAATTTCACAAATTCTAAAAGAACTGTGCAGAATAAAATACGAGCAGTGAAAACTCATTATAGGATTTTTTTTCAACTGATGGAAGAAGTGCGCGAGTCGATCAGAAAACTTGTAAAATGAAGTTTACTCAGAAAATGGTCCTTGTCCCCTTTGAAAAATACGAAAGATTAACAACAAAGTCAATCGAAGAAACCTTAAATCCAGTCAAAACAGAAACAGCCGCGAATAACCACAACGACCATACAACTAGCACAAGCGAATCAACACTCAAAGACGAACAAAACCTACCAGTAGCTAGCCCTGACAGGAAACCGGAGAAAGAAAAATTTGAGGAAAAACTCGTGCCTCCCCCCGGATTGCCGTCAAAAATTACCACCAGAAAGAAAAAAATTAAGAAAAGCGTTAAACAGAAAATAAAGTGGCTTACACTTAAACAAGAATAATGCAAAGTATTTCAGATTATCTCAGTTCAATTTATTACGACAGCGCGCATCCTGCCGCATATGCCGGAGTGGAAAAGTTGTATAGAGCAGTGAAAAGTGGTGGACGTTATGAAATTTCTCGAAATAAAATTAAAAACTGGCTACAAGAACAAGAAGCTTTTAGTGTTCATAAACAAGCACGAACTAAATTTACAAGACGGAAAGTGATTGCGACTTATGAAGATTATCAGTGGGATGCCGATTGTGCGATACTAGACTCGCTTAAATCCTACAATGAAGGTTTCTCATCTTTTTTACTTGTCATTGACATTTTTTCCCGTTTTGTCTGGACAGTAGCATTAAAAACAAGGAAAGGAAAAGAAGTCACGGACGCGTTTAGAGGTATTTTTCAAGAGGGCAGGAAACCACATGTCTTACGCACAGATAAAGGAAGTGAATTTGTTAATAAAAACATAACCCATTTAATCCGATCTGAAAAGATTAAACACTTTGTCACACAAAATTCAGTTAAAGCGTCTTATGCAGAGCGTGCCATAAAAACAATCAAGTCGAAGCTTGTTCGGATTATGACCTACAGACAATCTCACCGATGGATTGACGAATTAAGCAATATCACGAAGAGTTATAACAACACCTACCATCGTTCTATTAAAAAAAACTCCCGCAAGCGTGACCAACGAAGACAGGTTTCAATTTTGGAATTTACAACAAAATTCCCTATCCAATTTTATTCCAGTTTTAAAGAGGTATAAGTTTAAAGTGGGAGATGTTGTTAGAATAACTTATTTACGAAATGCATTTCCAAGGGAGTATGACGAGCGTTGGACAAGAGAACTATTTATCATCAGCTCCAGATTTATTAAAGACGACCATTGTTTGTATACCATTAAAGATTACGACAATGAACCAATACTGGGTACATTTTATCAAGAAGAATTACAACGCGCTAGAGTTAGTAACGAGACTGAATACAAAATCGAGAAGGTGTTACGCAGGCGACGGCGTAACAACACAAGAGAGGTCCTTGTGAAATGGTTAGGTTGGCCAAATAAATTTAATTCCTGGATCTTGGCGTCTCAGTTACGTGATACACAAGAATGACTACACAGTATTTTTTATTCTGTTCATCTAAAGATTGTTTAGATTTTCATCCTGAAAATAATTCCAGCGATTTTATGATAGAACTACCCAATACTCTAACATTACAAGGAAACTGGGAATGTGCGTTAATGGATATTATGTTTAAGACCGCAAGCGGCGCAAAACCAAAAATTATTAGCATATTGTCAGATTTATGTTGTAACAGTTATGCTAATTTTAAAAAGATACCAGTTTTGCGCAGATTGACTCTGTCGAAAAAAAATCAAGAATTCAAGCAACCGTTCTATATTCCCATGTCACGTGATCAAATTCAAAGATTTCGCATATATTTAATAGACGAAAAGAATGCTGATTCTACATTAGAAATCGAGACTTTATACTGCACGTTACATATAAGAAAATGTCTTGGAAGCCGTTCGTAGCCAATGTTGAGGAGTGGAAAAATCATTTTCTCACCACCAGTAAAATGAAGTACATACCTAAACAAAAGACGTACGTGGTGGGACAGTTTGGCAAAGGAGCAAGCAGTCCAGAACCTAAGATAGAACTCGTGACACCCACACAGCAGGCGGTAGAAAGAGCTAAGGCGGAGTTAAAGAAACGGAAGCTGGAGGGTGGACCAGTCGTAACGTTTGAAGCAGAGGGACAACCACGCCCAAAGAAGACAAAGAAAAAGGCACCAAAAAAATTTGTATTTGCGCAATAAAAGTTCTTATATCTCAAATATTTGTCATTTATTAATTCTTCATCAACAGATAAGCATGTCATTTTTTACAGAGGGTTCAGAACCGGCTTTTAGCCATCGCTTAGCCCTCTTTCATAACTTACCAACAGATGCAGGAGTAGAGCAAACTGAGTGGATTGACATTCGACCAGTGGGAAGCACGGCTCACGGTGGGGTAATTGAATTTAACATTTCGGGCGCGTCAACACATTATTTGGACTTGAATAGAACTCGTCTTTTTCTAAGAGCAAGGATATTAAATGAAGACGGTTCTCCTCTGAAGGAGAAAGAAAAAGTAGGATTTGTTAATTTAACCTTACAGAGCTTGTGGAATCAAGTAGATATATCAGTACAACAACAAGTCATAACACCCACGGTTTCAACTAATTATGCGTATAAATCTTACATGGACGTTTTCCTCAAGTACGGGACTTCTGCACAAGTCCCTTGCTTGTCTTCGCAGCTATACATTCCCGATTCGGCTGGTTTCATGGATAGCGCTGACGCAGTTACAGGTGGAAATATGGGTTTATTTCAGCGGGGCAGTTTGACAGAAAAGAGTTCATTTGTAGATCTTGAGGGCCCCCTATACATGGATATTTGTCAACAAGATCGCTATCTCATCAATGGTATACAAGTAAACGTCAAATTGTGGCCAAGTAGAGAAACATTCTGCTTGATGGCTCCAACAGGTTCAAAGCGATATCGTGTACATATTGAAGATAGCATTTTAAAATGTTGCTACTTGAAAATCAATCCCGGCTTACTTCTGGGACATAGCGAGGCTATCAAAAAACAACCGGCTTTGTATCCGTTCATGAAATCAGATCTAAAATGTTTTGGTATACCGGCCGGGCAATTTCATTTGAATGTAGACGACCTCTTTCAGGGAGAAATTCCTGAAAAATTAGTTGTCGGTTTTGTTTCATCCAAAGCTTACAGTGGTAGTTATGAACTTAACCCCTTTAACTTCCAACATTTTCATTGTAATTTTATAGCATTTTATGTAGATGGTAAGTCTGTTCCATCTGCACCATTAGAGCCAAATTTTAAAACCAATAATTATATCACTGCCTACACCTCATTATTTGTGGGAAAGAAGTCCGACTCGGAGACGGAGCAACTAGACCTTGGACGAACTGATTACGCAAAAGGGTATTGTCTGTTTGTTTTCAACATTAACCCTTCCTCCGAGAATGATGACAACTTACCATTATTAAGAAAAGGTCACACGCGTCTACAGATCAGATTTGACAAAGCTCTACCCGAAGCAGTAACGTGTATCTGCTATGCTAAATTCCCTGCTTTGATGAGCATAGACTACAGTCGAAACGTTGAAGTGAAATAATGGATTCTTTTGAATTACAATCAATATTACAGATTGACCCGAAATCTAAAAAGCGAATAAGAGGTGTACTTGCAGCTAATGAATTGCCCCACACACATTTGTTGAATGGATTTTACGTTTTAAATACAGATGAAAGAGGACTGCCTGGTAAACACTGGTGTGTGTTTTATTTTGACGGGCATTCTTCAGAATTTTTTGATTCCCTCGGACAGTCTCCAGAATTCTATCACAGTTATTTCAGGGACTATTTGTTGGCTAGAGGAAAAATATATAAATTCAACAACATGCAAGTTCAGAGTCCCGATTCCAATATTTGTGGTCTGTACTGTATATACTATTGTTTACTGCGTAGTCGTGGAAACACTCTCGAAAGCATAATAAAGACTTTTGATGAAAATACCATTGAAAATGATCTCTATATTAAAAGGATTTTGTCAACTTATTACGACAAAAACTTTGAAATAAATTGAACAACTTTTATTGTGTCTATTCATTTTGTGTAAGGTCAGCTAAGAAGATGGAGGTAGTGTATAATCAGAGAAAATCACAACTGAATGTTAAAGCTAAGGCCACTATAGCGCTGTCGAGTATACTTTTGCTGACGTTAGTAAGTGTTTTGACATGGATTTCCTCAGCTCACGACCATAGTTTAGAAGAGGGTGTTGGAAATAATACCAACATTTCTTCCACGGACACAAATACTAGTAATACTCTATGCAGCTTTATCAAGATGTTTCCTATTACCCGTGATTTGAAAGTTTCAGTCTGTGTTTTGAACAATCATGTAAGAATAGACATTAGATATTTCATACGTGAAAAGGCAACCATACGGGGGATTTTCTTTGATAAACAACAGTGGAATGGATTATTGAAACTGCTGCCACTTATTGAAAAAACTTTACTCTTGGTTTGAGAGAAGTGTCGTTAATAAATCTAACTCCTGTATACTTTCAATCATTTATAAATTTTATGGTGTAGATAGTTTTTACTTGTAATGCTTAACAAATAAATTGGTTCACCATCAATTTGTATTTTAAGCCTTATATGAATCAAATTGATAAACAAATACATGTTGATCATTTGTCATGAATTGTGTGAAATGCGATTTCGTAAAAATGTTACAACTACGACTGACTGATATGACAGAGCGATACAAGTCTGAAAGACGTCCGTTAATACCCTATCCGATAGTCAATCATAATCCAATTAAAGCTGCAATATTGGTAATCGCATTATCAGACGAAATGAGATTGAACCATTCCAATTTATTAATAATTGATTAATTGAAATCCTTTTATTGAAATTCAATGGACATGTAAAGTGACAACATAAAATCTTGTTACAATTTTCTCACTGAAAGGTATTTGGATTAGTGGATTATTGATAGTTTCTTACACTTCGTCTTAAGGGAAATAAACCCTTGACTTTTCTGACTTTATTTAATGATAAAAAATATATAAATACGATATTTAAAAAAGTAAATTTCTACCTTAAATCAAAGAATGAATTTGAAATACTTCTTTCAAACGTTTGTATTTCTATTTTATATCCTTCACACATACTTGGTTATTTTCATGTGTGTTTCGTTTTATTACTAACTCACAACTATTAATTAATTGTTCTTCTTTTGTTAGTATTCGTTCTCAAAAAAAGGTGCTTTAATGTTGGTCAATTATTTAATTCGTATATGTACATATCGCATCTAAAGAAGGAATCGGTTAACATCAATTCAATTTCACCGTCTTCATAATCATGTCTAAATAATATAGGATCCTCCCTTCTTATCTCATGTATTGATAGTTCCGTCATTTCAGCTCAGTAATTGATCTGAACTTTATCCGATTAATAAAGTATGGGTGCCTACAGAAAATTTACATATCTTGGATCCACCACTTTTATCTAACAGAAAGATCCGCCATCTTGGTTTTACACCCCTAGAAAACCGACAAATCTTAGATCCGTCACTTTCGTCTAACCATAGAGCCGCCATATTGGATCTACCCCAGGCTAGAACCGCCATATTGGATCTAGCCTTAATCTCTTAATCCGATTAGTAAATTAGGGCTTGAAATGCACACCCCAAAATTTAGGGGTCGAAATGCTACCTCCTCGGCAGATTAATTTACTGTCAACGTTTTTACAGCGTTCCTAATTAAAGTCGCAAGAAATGAAACTTAGTAATAATAATTTAATTTGTGAACGTTTTTTTTTTTTCCTAGATTAGTAATTATATTCAGGAATATCCTGAGCAAAGTCAGGGTTTTAAAAATAGTAACTTGCTGAATGAATCCTCGAAACGAAATGTGAGCCTTGTTTAAAAATATCAATTGAGATATGCTATAATTAGCATTTTTGTATTTTTTATAGCATTTCCGACATTTAAAAAAAAAATTCAACATGACAATTTTTGTTTTCATTGCCGACATCATTTTTTCATTTCTGGGATTTTGCAATTCTCCGGCAATTTTAATGTTAACCAAGTAGGTGGATATGGATCAGGAGTTTTTCAAATAATTGATTTTATGCCATGTTTTCTTAATACAAATAAAACATATGATAATTGTATAAACATGCATGTAGCTCAAAGTCAAGTTAAAAGAATTAAATGTAAGAGCATGCAACTTTTTCAAAGCATATACATGTGTAACTTCTGTGCCTCAGGGAAGAAATTTTATTATTTATCCTTCATTGATACCTAAGCAAAACTCATAACTTGGATTTCAATGATTTTATGAGTGTTATCTTCAAATTCTGCTTGCTGAAAGGTAGTCTACCTGAAAAATGTCGGAAATGAAAACTCGAGAATGTCGGAAATGAAAAATATAAAATGTCGTGAATTAAAAATTGAAAATTTAAAAAAAAAAGGAAATGAACCATAGTTAGAAATAGCGTAAGCGTAGGTAGATGGATACGATTTTATTTCATGTAATATTATGGGGAAGTGATACATGTATGTCATGCCCTTTAAAAAAAATTAAAGAAAGAGTAAAATTCAAAATGCAAGCAGAGTTTTAAAAAATATCACTTCACCTTTTTGGTGTAAAAAATATCTTACTGAAACTACATTGATACGTTAGTCTGAACTGTAGCTATATATAGCAGATAAAAATTTCACGTTCAGGTGGAATTTCACTGACTTAGCTAAAGTGTGCATTACTGTGTAGTGTATTCATTAAAAGATACTTAATATGACTGGACAATGAGCAAACAATGCCCTTGAAATAAGGACCTACAAAGAACTTAGATCCCTACTTGGCATTAAACCCTTAAATATCCATCGTGAATTTTGTGCTATCTAAATGAATTGAAAAAATATCTCATAGTATATTTGTAGGTGGGTTGCTAAATTTAAAACAGGTAACGAACACCTGCTGCTCGCATAGGTCGCCCTGCCACAGATACAACCAATTATAACAATTCCACCAAATCTTACAAAAAGACGCAAGATACGAATATATACCGTGAGGCAACTGCCTCAAATGACAAACTTATTATCACTTGTTCGTGGTAATTAAAACAAAAATTCGCGCTGTTTTTGGCGAAAGAAAAAAAAAGTGGCGCAATAAACACTTGCGGCATTGCTGTTGAAGGCAAGCAACCGAAAATTCGGCAAATAAAATGAATTTCGGCGATTTTGTATGAGATGAGAAAGATTATCCTGAATTATTCCTGAGTGAAGAATTTCTCGAAGAATATAAAATGACAAACAGTTTGAACGATTTACTCCTATCATTTCGGGTAAGTAACATTTAAGGGTCCTCCACACCATGTGACTTGTGACGTATATAGAAAAAACTTTTACTTCCGGTTTTATTCTAGTTAGTACATTGACGCTTTGGGCCAATCGCATCATCTCGAGTCTTTCCTTCAGAGTTCGGAAATGTATTAACATCACCGGATGTTAAAAATTTATACATCTTCCTGTTTATTCAAATATAGGCTAGACGGAGATAGAAGTTCTTTATATGGTATATATTAGGTAATATCATTACATTGAATAAAGTTGAACTCCATATTCCACAGATGAAAGGTCTCCATGCATTTATTTCAAAGATCGTGAAAAGGGGGAGCTGTAATGACGTCTTCCTAGTACATTCGAGGTCGTTTTTCCGCTTGTCGGAAAGGCCCGATCGAGAAGTTGCGATTGGCTTTGGCCTAGTACCGCTTGTAACAGAGTCTTACAAACGCTTTCCCAAAAGCATTTTTATAGGAGTCACCATCCTCTGGTTTCTTGCTCAAATACCTGGTAGGTACCTCAATTTTTGTAAGTAAACATGTTGAAGTAGTGTAACGAAGCCGAGGGTTTTGTGTAATCACTAACAAATGGGGTCGCCTTTAGTTTACTGGTCAATGGTCAAGATTTGATGGTTATGTTGATCATAGTTTATGTAAGGACTAATTTTTGGTGCAATTTAAGGTAGAACCTGTGTCAGAAAAGTCATTGTCACAAAATTTTCAAAATGATAACTTACTCGTGTATCAATCAGTTAAAAAGCACATAACATGTTTCCTTGTTATTAATTTTAATGCAGCCTGTGAATCTTGGAATAGTAACTTTACTTCGAATACATATTTTGATTATTTTCAGTCATTTTTAGGATAACTTGCCATGAAAAATCACAAAAATACTTCTTTAAATATCTCATTTACCGACTTAAATAACTGAACAGTATCAGAAAATATTACTCAAGAATATTTTTTTTTTATTTATTTGACATAAAAGATAAGTCCACATTTTAAAAACATATATGCGAATGAAATCTTATATTTGTAGTCAATTTTCTTTCCTAAATTTGTATATACACTGTATTTTTAGCTCTACTGGTCAGAGACCAGAAGAGCTTATGCGATAGTAATGCGTCCGTCGTCCGTCCGTCTGTCTGTCTGTAAACAATCTTTCAAAATGCTACTCCTCCTACAGTTTTGGTCTGATTTCAATATAACTTGGCACACAAGTAGACTACACTAAGATACATAATTCTGTGTATCGGTTTTTGATT